CGCGTTACTCCCCGGAAAGGACAATAGCGCGTTCGTTCCCCACCATAGACACCTGCGGTCCAGAGTTTTGCAAATATCTCAGCAACGTTGTCGATATATTAATGTTATTAAGAAAAATAAGTAAGACTTTTGATTTTAAGCATTTGGCTGTCAAGGATTGGCCATGAATGATGACACGAGAGAAACGACTCTCAATGTGATCAACGAAATACGCTCGAGAGTAGCGCTAGGGAAATTCCAAGCGCAGAATTTGCTACCTTCAGCAAGTGATATGGACAAAATGGTGATTTCTTTTTGCATTGTGGTGTATTGAGTCTATTGTACAGAGGACGCGAGAGAAGTGGTAAAGCGTTCGGCGTTGACGAACTCTTTAATGAGGCATTCGGCTCCATTTAGTTTCACATCATTGAATGTATATTAGGCCTGCATAGTGCTTTTAGGTTAATAACCATTCTATGTATCACTTCGGTAGTTTTACTCTCTAGCACAAATCTGGCATTAATTTCTCGATCCCAGAACGAAATTTGATTTACCAAGCGCGCAAAATGGAGTCTGCGATCACGTTTGCATTGCACCCTTGTAATCAGAAAGATCAACATGCACAATGAGGCTAACGTATTTGCAAGCTTTAGATCGCAAGCGAGATTCGAACCTGCGATTACCCTTTTTTATTCTAACCGTGCCATCAACAATCATCCGCCAGCGGTAATAATCTGAATGGTGCTAAGTTTAATTAATTTAAGAAGTGATTTAAGCTAAATTGATGGGCAGTATGTAAAAAGTTGAACATTGTGATTTCGACTGCTGCCTCAGTTTAATTGGGTCCAATGCCAACTGGTGCTCACCGCATCATTCCCATTGACATGTGATTGCTCATGGCACTGTAAGGGTGAAAAACTGGCTGAGTGAAGGCAAAGAAGGGGCCTCCAGGGAGCAGTGGGTAACACGTGAGACCAAACACGAGTTCGAAACTGGCCTGGGATTACTTGGTTTTGCAAATACCTCAGCGCATCACTGCTGTTGTATTTCACATAATACTCTATCGTGAAATTAATGGGTAATAGGTTAAACGTTAAGCAGAAAGATTGACAGATATTCATTGACAGATATCATAAACAAACAATATTAGCCTTCTTTTTTACATGTTTACTAAAAAAGAATAAGGCGGCACGACGAATGTTGAATGTGTTAGATGTGGGACTGTACTCTGGAGATGTTAGCCGAGGTATCTGTGGTGAACTGTCCTCAAGAGCAACCAATGACATTGCAGCAAAACGGCATGAATTATCTTACGTGAGCTCATGAGAATAATATGCTTTTAATACTAAGAAATGATTATTATCCAAAGGTTAATTCTTTATAAATGATGATGTGTGACCTGTGATTTAGCTTCGGTCCAGGCATGCCCCCATCCGTTCCTAGTAACCTGGTTGAATCAGCAGTGTTGAAATGGGCCGATATTACAAACGTGATGTGGCCAAGTGACAACACATTTGATGCGAATCTAGCATGGTATTATTTCGCTAATGTAAGTATAATTAGTAAAAATTTTTGAGAAGCAACAACATTGCAGGACATTTTTAGCTGATTCGTGCAAGTACGATTGCCGTCGGCTGTTCCAGTGCTGCATGTGGTATTAACGCATCTGTCGCGTGTGTCTTCTCACAACCGTTAGTAACATAATGCCAAACAGTTTTTAAAAGAAAAAAAACAAAAACCTTTAAAAATATTTCAGTAGTGTACAACCTGGTACATTAGTGTACACGCCAGGAAATCCATGTCAAAATGACGGACAATGCACAAGATTTAACCCAGGTTATTGTGAAAATGGACTATGCGTGAATGCTGCCAGGCCAGCTACAGCAACAACGACGGTAGCATCAACAACACCTAGAAGAAGAAGCACAGATTGCCCAAGCACCGCATTCACTGCTGCATTTAGAGAAACGGCCTTGGGTACTCACAATAATTTCAGGTATTTTACTTCAGATGTATAGTAGCAAGAGCAGTAACAATTACAAATATTGGAAAAAAATATTTGAAGGTCGAAGCAAGATTAAGAAAATACGGTATTTCTCTGAAAAATACAGAAAAATCAGTTTAGATCTCTAGTTGCAAGAGGTCTAGCAAGGAATGGCGAATATGTGAATGAAAATGCACCACCGGCATCACGAATGGAATTGCTGGTATAGCTCTGTGCCTTTTCAATTACTATCGTCGTTCTTCCGATGTGGAATTTATTCTACTTTACACCTCTAGGAATATGACTGCGGTGCCGAGCAACTTGCTTTGAACCATGTGAAATCGTGCGATAGACAACTATCACCACCTGCTTCTCGCCCTGGTTACAAAGAAAACATTCACATTCTTGACACAACTGAGACCGACGCTTTGGGAGCCCTGCAAAATGTGGGTAACTGAAGTCTTTCAACAGCTAGGCTCAAACATTTCGTCTATATTGAAAGTCTTTATAACCACTCATAATTAATTTTTTTCTACCTCATCTATACCACCGCAGGCTGTTGCAACTTGGAATAAAGAACTCACAGTGAATGGAATTCCTTCAAATATGGTGCTAACACGTGAAGTTTTCCAACGCACCAACAAAAACAGCAGAAACGTTACCAAGGTTGCGACATTTTTCATAAAAGACTTCAACCATTAGAGTTTCACAATCATTCCGAACATGTGCGATTTGAAACGAGTACACCAATTTTCTTTAACAGTCTTTGTTGTGATTTAGCTTTTCTGTCCAATCCATAATAGGACTAACCTTTATTTTCTTCTTGTTGACAGTTGAGTGCACAAAACTATAAAACATTTGAAGCTGCTGAATTCGCTATTTATTTCAGATTCTCTGGGGAGCAAACAAATATGTGGCTTGTGCAACTCAAATGTGTAGTGGTTTCTATTTCACTTCTTGCTTGTATCGAGAACCGTATGCTTTTGATTTCGATTTCGTTAAGACTATATGAAATTGATTTGTACTTGTTCAGAGTGAATATGGTGGGCCAGAGTATCTACAATATTGGTGTGGTGTGCAGTTCCTGCCCTGCCGGCTCCAACAATTGCAACGCAGACATTGGGCTGTGCTCATGGTAGATTCCAAGATTCCAAAGCACTTTGTTGAATTTCCAGTGTTCAAGAAGATTATTTTTCTAATTTATTCAAATAAAGTGTTTTCTGATACTGTTCAAAGTTAAGGTGTTATACTGGAATAACAGCAAGATTCTTCATCTTTCCTCATCATGCAATCGAAAATGGCATTGACACCTATCAAAGGTCTTAACTACGCAACTCCGCCTTCAGAAGGCGTAGAAAACATTATGGGACGATTTAAGAATGGTTTTCCATAGGCTTACCGACACTTGAAGAAGGTCACGCTTACCCCGTTCAACGTGATCAAATCGAAAATAGCGGGAAAGTCAGTCAATATGGAAGAAAAGGTAAATATCCTATAAGGAAACTACTACTAGCAGTGCCTCAACTGCTATAGTTGCAGTTGGAGAACAAGCGATGATGCGACTGAAGACGGCGACAACTTTAAGGTGTCACAGCATGTATCGGAAAACTACTAACAATCCGAATACGAACTCTGGAAGTCCATCAAGAGGGAATAATAACGATTACACCCACGGATCTTCATTGGTAGCATAGAGGTTTAGAGATAAAACCGAGATGCAAGAACGAATAGCTTCGAGACCATTTATGGCGTCTCACTTATTTTGCTGATTGCTTAGTAAATACGTCTTAGGCACAACTTATCGCTATGAAATAGATCGATAATGGATAAGTTCAACACAGTACTTATATTTCTTTCTTTCTTTATTATTTATTTATATACTATTATATAACAGTCGTTCTATGTCTACTTTAACAACACTAATCATTTTTTGTCGCTGATATACGGAGGCACGAAACCTTGCACAAGTCCTTGAATGAGTAATATTTCACCTTAGATCCTATATGCCGGTGAGTGTCATATCCGTGGTCTACCTGTAACACACATGACGTCTTTCTTGCCTATAAATGGAACGGATATCCAACCAATGTTGGGCTCAGTGTGTTGCACTTTTCTGTAAAGGTGGTCATGAAGTAGGCGTGTTTCGGAGAAAATAACGTGCTGACTGCAACTTTTGTTCTGAAACTATCACGTAGTGGTAGCAGAGAGGTCTAGAGGTAAAACCTTCATCGACCAATCTCTGTTCATATTAGCAAGAAAATGCGATAGAAAAAGAAGATCGCAACACGCGTTTGTCTAATTACTACAGTCGATTCCGCAGTAATGTGACCTCAAGGAGAAGAACGTTTTCTTTCTTTACTGAAGAATTTATCTCGTTTATAATTGCTGTGGCAAAATAGGAGGCAACGCTTACCGCGGTGAGCTCATTGTCTTGAATGTATTTCAATCAAGTGCAAATTCAAGGAACATATTAGGAAACCGAAGCAGCCACACTTGAGTCGACGTCGTGAAGTTTTTTTTTCCAGATATTGAACTGCATTTTAAAGATGATATTCTTCCATACCTTCATATCCGTGCTGCCTATCTTGTGCCAATAAAACATGAAGCCATATAGAAGAGGAAACGAGGACTTAATCTGGAGACGTTCTGTTCTGAATCACTGAGAAATACAATGAATGGACCATTTTTGTCCACTATGACTGCTTTCCTTAAACGCTTTGCCTATACACAAACAAAGAAGTGTTTTTTTTTTAAATCCAAGCACGTTTGAAAGTTTCTGAATGGACGAGAAATATGTTCTGCAGTTCAATTTGATCCACAACCGGAATTCAGCACCCGAGAGAGACAGTTTGTTTCCGTCGTGGTAACTCAAACTAAATAAGCGATAGCTTCATTAGCCATCTAACATCATGAAATGTGACTACTAGTGCAGAACATTCCAGTGAAATCCATAACTAAATCGTTAATCTAAGGTTGGGATTTGCAATATAGTCCACATGCCTTGGTGTTCATTAAGAAAATATGACGGTGCTGCTACAATTCTTCATTGTGGTTAATATTTCGACCAATACGCTTTTTGCAAACTCGTGCTCGTTGTGGGTCTTCATAAACTAATTCTTCCGCCATGGGACTCTGTGAGTCGACTCAAACGGTCGCGAGCGTCTGGTGAATGCAGGTGTAAATGCAGGAATATTTTGCACGAGATTACCTTCATTATTAGTTTTCACTATCACCCTTACCAATGGTGTTTTTTGCTGAAAAAAAAGCAGTTAAAAGGGTGAATTTTGGAAAAACACAATTGCAAGACAATCAAAAATTGGAATACCATGATAACCGCCTACAGTGCAAGATTATGAAATTCAAGGAAGAGGTGTTAAAAGGAGATCATGTAGACGCGAGTCAGTGGCAGTGAGACATTGTGAGTCTCGATTTTGCTTGCTGCATGACTAAACTGGCAGTCTTTTACTTCTAAGTTAAATACGTGCTACATCCAAAAGATAGTATAGACCATCATCTGCTATTTGAATTATGAAACAATGAGGTTCTAATGTTTTACGTTTTGTTTTCTGCCTTCTATAATTTTCATGGCAGGTTATTAAGCGAAATACAACCACAACGTTGCTGAGATATTTGCAAAACTCATTATCCTTTCCGGGGAGTAACGCGTTCACCATCACACCATGCGGGTCCTTTGTTTTTGAGTTTTGCAAATATCTCAGCAACGTTGTGGTTGTATTTCGTTTAATAACCTGCCATGAAAATTATAGAAGGCAGAAAACAAAACGTAAAACATTGTGATTTCAACTACAGCCATAGCTTAACTGGGTTCTATGCCGATTTGCGCTCCCCAGATCAACCCCGCTGACGGGTGATTGCTGTGGCAAAAAAGATCGATAGAAATAGCTGAGAGACGTGCGAAACAAAGGACCCGCATGGTGTGGTGGTGAACGCGTTACTCCCCGGAAAGGATAATAGCGCGTTCGTTCCCCACCATAGACACCTGCGGTCCAGAGTTTTGCAAATGAGGTTCTAAATTTATACTGCAGTGTGTTAAGGCTGTTGTAATCCTTGCTAGTCGTATTTCTGTGCTGGGCGAATTTGTTCCCCCAGCTGATTGTCGCAACGAGCCCATAAACAGTTGTGTCTACATGAACTTAACCGAGAGAGGAAATCAAATTTCATCCAGGATGTTGGTATACAGCGAAATGCGTGACGTTTCCCACTGCGTGAGCAAGTGAATTTAATGGATTTGATGCATTTTTCCTTTCTTTTATAACATTAACGAAATTCTGTGCTAGTACAGACAATCCTCTCGGTGCAAATCTACACTGTTCAGGCAGAGACGGTGACCTCGTAGATCCGACGTAGTGGCGAACAAGGATTGAGTGGAGACTTAGTATTTTAAGAAAAACTATTTTAAGAAGTATAACTTCAATGATGCTGAGATATCTGAAAAACTCCGAACCGCAGGAGTAAGCGGTGGGGAACGAACGCGCTATTACTCCTTCCGGGGGCTAACGCGTTCACCACCTCACCATACGGTTCCTTCGTTTCACCTGTCTCTCAGCTAGTTCTATCGATCTCTGCCATCAGCAATCACCCGTCAGCGAGACTGATCTGTGGAGCCCAAATCGGCAACGAACCCAGTTAAACTGAGGCTGTAGTTATAATCACAATTCTAACTTATTACTTACTCCCTAGTCAGCTTAACTGGTTTCGCTGCCGATTTGCGCTCACCAGATCAATTTCGCTGACGGGTGATTGCTGATGGCAGAAATCGATAGAACTAGCTGAGCGACAGGTGAAACGAAAGAACCGCATGGTGTGGGGGTGAACGCGTTACTTCTTGAAAAGGACAATAGCGCGTTCGTTGCCCACCGCAGACACCTGCGGTCCGGAGTTTTGCAGATATCTCAGCATCATTGAAGTTATATTTCCCAATATACCCTGCCCTTAAAAAGAGTAGACGACAAATAATAAGTTAGAATTGTGATTATTCTAAGAAGTTTGTTATGCTTGCAACGCTGTGTGCTAACTAATGGTGATAGCTGCTTTTGCAGGATGGATTGCTATCTCATCATTTGATCAAGGTACAATTTCTAGATATGTCTTTCTGAGAGCAAAGAAACCGATATAAATCAGGAAACGAAATATTAAAACCGCCACCCATTTGGATTTATTCTATGCTTCCGTATTGATTCCGCTATCTAAAACGAAGTGTTACCATAACCATGAGTCTCAGAAGAAGCTGTTCCCAATGCGATTGAAAGTTAGGTTTCAGATTCCTCCGTTGGAGTTATGGAAGTATTTGTTTGACTACGCTGTGCACCAACTTGACCGTTCCACGTTCACACGTTCTGAAGAAAGTATTATCCGCTGGAAGTCATCTATCGTCAACATGATAACAAACTAGGTGCTGGTCATCAAAAAACAGATTATTGTTTAATGCCGAGGTAAACAGGAATGGAATTCTAAAATTCCAGGATAGTTCCCAGGATCGACTTTCTATTAACCCCGGCACTGGAATATGAATGCGACGTTCTCTTGTTCAGCAATCGCGAGGTTTTCAAACAGCATACATTTACTTCCATAGAAAGACATAATACAACACAACAGTAGCTGACGTTTCGGCAGTATCGCCTTCTTCAGAGCCTGGAAGGGTATACTGATATGCAATCTACTAGGCCAAACGCTTCAATAACACTTACAAAAAAACGAAAAACTCTCTGGTAATTACATGATCAACAACTTCCCGAAAACTCACCGGTTTTTACGTGACTTCCGATGAGGAAGTTTAGAACAGCTGATTATAGTCGCATATGGTTGAGTGCACCATCTCACATCAGAAATTGAGGTGAACATACGGGGTTAGGTCGTGTATGACCTCTAGGAATTTCTCCCTCCTATTCATTGTAGGGTTTTTGGCATTTATCCAAAAAGCCTCAAAAAGTTTTCGCGCTGGTGTTTTAGACTCCTGTGCAAGGATATTGACTTTTACTTCAAAATCGTCTCTGCTATACTTTTGTATCCTTTGCGTGCCTAGTGGGGTGCTTCGTCTTAGTTTTAGTTTGCCATCTAAGTGTTCTTTTAAACGGATACTCATAGGTCTGCCCGTTTCGCCAATATATTCATCTCCGCAATTATTGCAAGAGATCAGGCATATCGTACCTGAACTCAAGCAATCACTGTTCCTGCCGTAAGGGCAAATTACGCAATTTGTTGTTTCACATAGACGGTCATACAGGCGGTTACGAACTAATTGACGACGAAGAGTATTGGGTGGTATTTCAACTATCGCCACCGATTCCTCTAGACCTGTCCGTCTTAAGCATTGTTTAATAGGTACGCTTATTTCATCGCTAGTAAAGGGCAACATAAACGAGACTTTCTTTTGGCCAAGTATTTCGCTTGGGCACGCCGCTCTCCTTCTAAACTTGTCACGTGCGGTAACTATTGCCCAGCCATTGGAGATGGCTATTTGCCGGGCCAAGTCGCGCGATTCTTCCTTTAGTTCCATGGTTGTGCACGCAAAGGTGGCTGTTCGAAACATGTTTCTCACAACCACCCTCTTTGCGTGTGAAGGATGGGAAGAAAGGAATTAAGCTACGATGTTTTTGTTACTTGGCTTTTGGTACCACTTTGTCAAGTAACCGCTACTTGATAACTTTATTTTGATAGATTGGAAAGCCAATCCTCGTTCATTTCCTTTTTCCCACCCTTCACAAGCAACGAGAGCCCTTGTGAGAAACATGGTTCGGACAGCCACCTCTGTGTGCACTACCAGGGAACTAAAGGAAGAATCGCTCGACTTGGCCCGGCAAATAGCCACCTCCAATGGCTACGAAATAGTAACCCCCCGAAATAGGTTTAGAAGGAAAGCGGCGTGCTCAAGCGAAACACTTGGACAAAAGAAAATCCCGCTTATGTTGCCTTTTACAAGCGATGAAGTAAGCGTACCTATAAAACGATGCTTAAGAAAGGCAGGTTTAGAGGAATCGGTAGCGATAGTTGAAATACCACCGGCCACTCTACGTCGTCAATTAGTTCGTAACCGCCTGTATGACCGTCTGTGTGAAACAACAAATCACGTAATTTGCTCTTACGGCAGGGAAGGTGACTGCATGAGTTCAGGTACGATATACCTGATCTCTTGTAATGATTGCGCGGATGAATATATTGGCGAAACGGGCAGACCTTTGAGTATCCGTTTAAAAGAACACCTAGATGGCAAACGAAAACTAAGACGAGGCACCCCACTAGGCACTCATAGGATACAAAAGCATAGCGGAGACGATTTTGAAGTAAAAGCCAATATCCTTGCACAGGAGACTAAAACACCAGCGCGAAAACTTTTTGAGGCTTTTTGGATAAATGCCAAAAACCCTACAATGAATAGCAGGGATGAATGCCCGGTGGTCATACGCGACCTGATCCCGTATGTTCGCATCAATTTCTGATGTGGGATGGTGCAGCCGTCAACCATATGCGTCTATAATACTATCACTGCGACTATCAGCTGTTCTAAACTTCCTCACTGGAAGTCACGAGAAAGCGGTGGGTTTTTGGAGAAGTTGTTGATCTTGTAATTACCAGAGAGTTTTTCGTCTTTTTGTAAGTGTTATTGAAGTGTTTGGCCTAGTAGATTGTATATCAGTATACCCTTCCAGGCTCTGAAGAAGGCGATACTGCCGAAACGTCAGCTAGCGTTGTATTGTATTGTGTTTTTCTATGGAAGTTCTACTTCTATGGAAGTAAATGTATGCTGTTTAAAAACCTCGCGTTTGCTGAACGAGAAAGCAAAGCATTCATACTCCAATGTCAAGGTTAATAGAAAGTCGATCCTGGGAAATAAACTTGCTTTAGTTTTCCTTCGGCTAACTTTTTGCCATAATGGTGCCATCGGCAATCACATGTCAACGGTAATGATCTGGGAATCAGAAGTCGTCATTGAAGCCAGTGAAGCAGAAGTTGCAATAGAAATCCTAATATTTAATTTTTCATTCACTGCGAAACTGTTGTGTACTGAGTTTTGCGAATGTCATAGCATCATTGTGATCTAGCTACTGTTGTTGTCGTGTTTTTATTAGAATGCTACTTATTATCATGAAATAGTCGCCCGATCACCGCGAGGCGGTATGACATCGTCGCCAGCGCCGTGTTGCTAGGGCGTGTCGCTACCGTGGTCGTCGGTCGTTCAACGTAGCTTCGTTGTCGCGTGAGCGATGGCCGAAAGCGTTCGCGTCATCGCCAGATGTCGTCCACTCAACGATCGCGAGAAGGGCCTCAACTCGAAGGTAAGTCTTGACGAAAGCAAATCGCTTCATGATCCAAAAAATCCGCGAAAATTTTGTGTTAAAACGTTTTAACCGCATTGTGAAAACGGAAAGAAACACCGTTTCAGTTTTCAGTGATTTTTTTCCATAGAAATCGACAACTAATCGGCTCAATTATCTTTAAAATTGCTACTAATGGACCTTATGGTTAGCGTGAAAAATACGCTTTGATTGCCTCTACATAGCTCTTTTCTCACCACCTTGGTGGTTACCAAACTTTGAAAACCTAGAAAAGGTCCAGTGTTAATTCGATTGTCACTTCTTCATTGGCAGTTTTTAAAAAATTTATCGACTATGTTTACTCTTAATCTCATCCACTAATTTCTTTGCCTAAGTTTTTATTTCCGCACTTCTCATTAAAATGTAGAGCTGGCGGCATTGATCAATCCCTGAGGGGTGTGCAGTGCATTTTACTTCATTAAACATCGTGAGGAGTGATTGAATGCATATCTGACCTATAGAGTTACTTGCAGTGGCTTACCGATGTGTAAGATTTTTTCTGCTATTCTCGCAGTTAATTCTTGGGTGAAATTGCCTAACCCAGAGAAACGGAAGGCTATATGAGCTTGGGGTATGGTATGGAACCCACGTGTATGGCATAGCACTTCTAACCACTGCGCTTCACGAGCTCTCTTTGATTGGCTATTAAACGAATATTTAAATACGAAATTTGCAAGTGATAATATTGGGATTACGGTTGTTTTCCATCTTTTTTTGGGTGTTTTCTTGATTCGTTATCAATTCCTTCTTGGCTTGTAAGGGTAAAATTAGTTCTGTGAATAATTTATTTTGCTAACGTTTTAATGTCTTCATTCTGATCAGCTCCGATGATCCTAGTCGATGGTCAACAGGTATTCATCTGCACTATGTGGTTTCTTCGTCAGCTATTCGTTGCCACCTAAAAAGGTAGTGATTGTCAGTACTGAGGTTTTAAATGACGGTCGGTTTAAAAGTTATCTTTCATCGATTGTTAGTAGTTTGCTTGAGATGATCGAATATTTCACCATTCTCTTGTCGTTCCTACCTGTTCTACTAACTGTTCGCTATCGTATCGGATTTCCTTTATTATCTAAGTACCACCAGCAATAATTGGGAATTTATCCCTGCTTTAGGCTTCATTAGTTATTTTTCGACGTATAATTTGAAATTTACTAATTAGATATAAATTTTTATGTGAAGGACTTGTGCTGAATAATAGGGAATACTTGCTTTTGTTATAAACAAAAAATGCTGACTTAAACGTCATTGGTGTCTAAAGGAACTTAAAAATTTTAATAACCTTCGCTAAAAACTGAAAGTTTGTTGCGAGCGCTATATGGCGACTTCGTTGCTAGGGGTTATGAAACCTCGCTCATACAATCAGCGAAATCTACACGTGGAAAGAAATGAGCTTTTAATAGTGAAAAATTATACAGTAATAAAGTAGCGCTCACTCTAAGGACGTTTATTGCGAACTTCCTTATTCTCATATTTGTGGCCCACTATCATACACATTGGCAATTCCCTATGCTTTGCTATGAGCACTGGCAATACTACTAGTAATTAGTTTCTCGAGCTGTCGGAGATAAACGTCAAGCTCACTTGTTTTATAGACGAGGTCGATCTGCGCCCGGAGCCTGTATTTCCCAGGCACTTTACACTCGAATGCTCTCGGCTGCTGAATCGACGTACAGCATAGAACCTTTTTACACGCCAAATCCATTCATATGTCTTTCATGATTATAACGACTATTTGGATAGGTGTTAGTCAATTTGCCATCGCATACGTATAAAATCCACATTCCGTATCCAATTTCTTTAAACAAGCACGTGGTCGCTTTTGGTCAGCCATCTCGTATCCGTCATCTTGAGAACGAGAAGCATACCCTGACGACTAACTGGCAAGAAAACTCATAAGTGAATGAGATCTCTAAAAAGAAACAACGACGATTACAAGATAAATGAATTCATCACCTCGTATCAACTCATAAGAAACACAGTAATTTATAAGCATTGAAGTAGAGCAAGTAGTCTCTATTGAGCTCGGTATGCAACACGAGCTTTAGAAGTTTCATTAGTTCGAAAACAGTCTTGAAGACAAGAAAATGCTCTGGGATATGAAGCAGCTGTAGACGATCGTTTTTCAAATGTGTTGTTCGAAGTAGGGAAGGGGTACAAAACGGCTCAAGAGGTTGTGGAGAAAAATAGGCATTTGTGGAACTGCACATCTAGAACTTCTTGGTAGGCTTAACAACACTGCAGGTTTAACCTAAACAATGAGATTGCCGCTGTGCTTGGCGTCTCCTCCGCGCTTTGCTGCGCAACAAAAGCTAGAAGAATTTTATTTTCTTCAATAAGCAGACACAAGGTTGGTATTATATAATAAATAATAAGTATAACATATATATAATAATAATAATAATAATAATAATAATACCAACCTCGTGCCTGCTTATTGAAGTAAAACAGCGAATTATCAATCAATGCCGATGTCAGTAGAAAGTCGATCTTGGGAATCTTAATGTAATTGTGATAGACAACTAATAATTGATTCACATCGGCATTTAACTATATTCAACTCAAAAGTAAACAACATCGAAATACAGAGACAACTTGCGAAACTATATATGTCGAAATAATTGGTCTTCGGTTCAGGTGAATGCGAGCACTCACTATAACATTTTGAATTTCCTCTAAATTACTACAGGATAGAACTTCTGTGACGAAGGTGAAATTGTCCATAGTGAATTACAATGTTGGCATTCGAAACTGATCACTTGAAAACGAACAGAGTTACTATCAGGGCGACTTTCATGGGTTAGAAGTGGTCACGGTCCAGAAGTTACCGGAATAGACGACGAAGCTCTTATTAGCCGATTGTGCTCATCGAAGCAGAAGCCAATCAGGTATTGCCTATTCAAACACCAGCAGAACTAGCTGCAACTTCATCGACGGCGGAAATGCTTCAGAAAATTGCATTTGAAATATTATTTCCAAGGCCGACTTTCTATTAACGTCGGCATTGATTAGTAACTCATGGGTTGAGACATGGACAGTCCTCGCCCATGTATTACTCTGTGCGGCTGCTATCCACCAACTAATTGGAATACTTACAACGAATAAACGGCTCTGAAGAAGGCGAAACAGCCGAAACGTCGGTTATTGTGTCCTAATAAACTCTACGATGCCAACCTCGTATTTGCATATTGAAGAAAACACCGAATTTTTATTGTTTATAGGACCCAAGAATTTTGCCATGATAGTATAAGTATAATTTAAACGGTCAGAAGGATATCTTAGGTTCTAAGGTTTTTCAAGTCGGGTAATGTTTTAAGCTGATTATGCTTTTAATAATGTTATAGCTTCTTACATAGTCGATTGCTCCTTCTTCGTCTTTACAACTTCTCATAATTCTTCCATCTTTGGAAACTTTCATCACGTTCAGCACTTAATACAATAACCCAGATTTTGCTGTTGGCTTGTAGTTGTCTGTGTTATCGTGCAGTAATTGGCGTGGTTTTGCACACAGAAAGGCGAAAGAAAGGAAAACAATAGGAGATGATAAAGAGAAGACAAAAAAGGTAGAGGTGGAGAATAGCGATGGAGAATAAGGCTGTACACCATCGGTACAGCTTCCTAAATCTTGTAATGGAATAATGGTTGTTTTTGCGACGTATAATACCTGGCTGAACATATTTAAAAAGTTTGCTGAACTGAAGTAGAAAGATATATTTAAAATGTTTGTTTAAAACCTTTACAGCGTCCAGCAAATGAGGTTCTCACCGATTTAACCTATCTGCTAACCTCTATCTATTATCTGCAAATCTCTTTTCGTCAAGAAAGTTGATAAGAACAGAATAGTAGGAGAAAAGTCATTACGTCACTATCATTGATGACCTTAGCAAATAAAACTTAACTCGCGAACGTACCATTATAAGCTGCAAGAATAAACTAGAAAGACATACAGATTTATCTAACAGTTGACTGAGACCTCTTTGGCACTGTAAATTTCACTCTTAGACGACCGTCCACTATTTCTTTGTTTTTCCAAATAATAAACATTACTTCATAGAAAAAGTGTTTCCTGGCCTGCTTTCGTCATTGCTTACTGAATCGAACGAATTATTGAGGAATTTCTCATTATTGTCGGGTTTCCCTATATCATACGAGTACGCCCTCCCATTCGCATATCTCTATTTCCATAGATACCGACACGAAAAATGCGCCGGCCAATTAACGTCGACTTGAGATCGACACAAAGTCGTCAACTCGTCTGTCCGACACTTTTGCAGAAAGTCTTAAGTCAGACACTGGCAGTAGAGTTCGGCACAGGGTTTGGCGGACGATTTTATTTTCCTCATAGACCTTGCCGTTAATACTTATACAACTTTTGCATATATATTCATATATACATACTATACTTTTACAAGACGACAACAGGGCAGTAATAATCAAGAAGTGGTCAAAGGTTTTACTATCTGATGTCACTGCGCCTATGAAATACTCTTTCGGGACACGGCTCGAGACAGTGACCACAAAGCAGTGTCGCATGAGATGTGTGAGATTGTGTACAGCGTCTATTCTGCCTATGTACGAAGTGCTAAGAATCAGTTTAAGTAATCTAACGATCGTAATAAAATTTCAAGGCTTTCTAGGACATTAGCGTAGTGTTTAGAAATCCTTTTCTCCCTCTTTTCCTCCGTTTTATAAAATAGAAGAACGTGATATTTTTTGATGTAGTTTGTAAGAGAAACCAAAAAAACCTTGAGTGCTCTGACGCATTCACAGTAAAATTCGTCAGAGTGGTAATTACATCGTTATCATATAATAGAGTAGAATAAATAAAAAATTCGATTTACATTGAATTATCTTTGAATTAGTCCACTTATGTCTGTAGAAAACGTGAGCGGAAGAGACGCTACAAAGCACCTAGTAGCTCATAAACCATTTGAGTGAAAATCGTTTATACCCCACCTATCAGTTTAGAAAAGGAATTTGTGCTATATACCTACTGATAACTGCTTTTCTGTTGATTAGATAATGAAATCTCATGCGAAAAGTGAGCTTACGGAGTTATAGATTACCTACAGCTCTCATTACTGGAAAGGTATTGGCAAATTACCAACTCATATTTTCATTCTTTTATTAAAACGGATTTGAAATCATTTTTACTGAGATGCCACATGTAAACATAATAAGTGACTCCCCTGGAGTAAATAAAATGCTATTAAGCCCCTCCTTCATGTACCGTAATCTTATTGGACTATGTGACGCTTATCTTTAGAATCAATTCTTTTTCGCTGCACAAAACTTCGTTTCAAATTGGGCTGTGTAAGTGGAAGAAAAATCTTGTAAGAAAGATACCATTTCCTTTGGCAATTCATGCACTCGAAATGATTCAAAGAATTTTTGCGATATTGCTAAACGTATTCGTATGAGAAGCAAGTAAACTAGATAAAATAAATTCGTCTGTATTTGAGTGTTCTGTCTTCAACAAGATCCACTCAAGATTTACTGAAATTTTATTTCAGTTTTTTGCTGGTTAGAGGCGCTGTCTTTTTCTCGCCATCACAGAATTTACCCAAGTCGATATCACAGGATATCACAGTCGATATCACTTTGAAGAGAATTTTGACCTTCTAGTACCTTGTAAACGTGTAATTTTCTACGACGATGCATGGCACTTGGGTTTTTGGATGGAAATACAGAACACATTGTCGGCTTTTCTATCTATCTCAAAAAAAGTTATCCAACGCACACTGCTGCTCGATACCAACGGGCACCCACTTGCACTGGTAGGAATTTCAGTGGAAGCAGTGCATACTATGTCACAAGCTAAGATAGTTTGCTTGCCAAATGCTCAAGAAGTCACTGGTTGTTTTATTAATTAATCAATTAATTGATCCACCGGGCTTTCCCACACATAACAGGGGCTTTTCAGATATGCGTTCAAATGGATGCGGGTTCTGCTCAGGTGGCTTTGCTCTCCGATGGCCCTCCGAAAATGTTCACCTTTGATGGCGCGTACTATATGGATGCCACCGGCGAACAGATCTACAACGATATAGTCTATCCATTAGTCGAAGTATCAACGCTCATTCTATCATTGCGAAAATATCTTAATACATGCGTAGAGATTTTAAAAATTGACCATAAATCTTTTATTTCCATTAAATTGCAGGCGATGATCTTACAAATCGTAAGGTTTTAGAATGTAATCGAAGGCTACAATGGCACTGTGTTTGCATACGGTCAAACTGGCTCTGGAAAAACGTTCTCGATGCAAGGTAAGCACTTTTCTTTAGAGTGAGACTAGTTAGTTTAGTCTTTTAGAGTATATTTTTAGTGGCTAAGTTGAACTATAGTAGAAAGAATATTGATCACTCTTTACTTCTTGCTAAACTATGGAACTATTCAAAAAGACCTCTGAGAGTGATTTATTTTAAATTGATTGGACAAGTGGTAACAAAGAGACAGGAGTTTGCTAACATCCTAATTCATTCATTCATAACTTTTTGCTACAGAATAGCAAAAAACTAAATCATCAATGGCGAGAATGCCTTTACTTCTGGTGACGATAATTTAGAAAAGGAAGCGCAGATTTTAGCCAAACACTCTTTATGAAGTCTTATAAGGGCAAAGAGCCGTCGTTTTTAAATCAGAAATGTGACAGTGACCTTCAGCTTTACAGTAACCATGTCGGCCTTAGCACTACCTTTATAATTGCTTCGACATTTTATTCATTTGTGAACATGATGAGCTTAGTAAAGTTTATACACATTTCTTCCGCACCTGTAAATATGCGATGTTGGAAATCTGATGAAAGTGTATTATTGGATGTATTCTCATAGCATACCTTAAAAGAAGGATATTCAGGCATCGGTGATCTTCCAACCCAACGAGGTATCATACCAAGAGTATTCGAGCACATCTTCCTTGCGACTGCTACCACTGAGAACATGAAATTTCTCATACATTGCAGCTATTTAGAGGTTTATCACAAACTTTTGTTCAAAGTTACTTAATAGAGTTTTAAAAACGCTAGTTTTTGAAGCTGCAATCCGTACTTTTTCATCTATGCTCTTTTTCACCTGTTGTATTAATCAGCATTATCATGGTGTAGTGTAAAGCGAATTGAAATAGTGCTATTATTATTATTATTTATTATTAGCTATTATTATTATTTATTATTATTAGCACAATTATTATTGTTAGAGAACGAACAGCACAGTGGTAGTGAGGTCCGTAATCACGAGCATGGTGCTAGTTCGATTCAGGTCCTGACCAACCAAACCTGTCATCCCTCTGGGGTGGGGAAATTGGTACCGGACTTGTCTGGGAAGAAAAATCACTGTCTGCAATCCAGTAAGGCTGCAGCCCTACTATCTCAAGACTCTAGAGATAATTACTCGACCAGATTCCACGACATTCGAGATGAAATGAAAATCCTAAAGCAACAACCGAAACCACACGTAAAGTTGGAAACCCTTCGTGGACAATGGATGCGAGGAAACGAATCGAATGCGAGAGTGCTGAGATCCGCACAGTTGGTGTGAAGACGAGCCATATAAAATAAAAAAGTAATTGTCATTGTTGTTAATACTATTATTATTACTATCGTTATTATTATTAACAATGATATTACTATAGAACAATACTGCGCACTAATTGACATAGGCACGTAGTTCACCAGCTCTGTCTACGTTTCGAGCTACTTGCAGTTCTTCCATTGGTCTCGTTTTCCTACAATTGTTATTATTCATCACTGTGGTCGGATTCGTGCATAAGTTCAGTTGTGGCCTAAATTCTGGTGTCGCCTTCCTTCTTTGATATGCTGGATGCTTATCAGGCATGATCTTTCCTGGAAACCTGCAAGATCTTGCAAGAATGCTTTGACCTCCATTGTACTACGTTGGAATAAGGCATTTAAGCGTCCAACTTGGAAAGGTTAAAGAATGTTTATTCGGCCAATGTCAAGTGTTAACGAAAAGAATAATTTTGAAAGTTATTTAAGCCAGTCATTCAGATCTATAACGAAGAGGTACGAGATCTACTTGGTGCAGATAAAAATCAGAAATTAGACATAAAGGTGAGTTTAACGTACTTCCATTTGTGGCTCACTGTGCGTGCGCAAGCGTTATTCAGTACGACCCATGTACTATACGTTGTATGGCTCAAGGTTTTCCACTTAAATCTTCTCACGATATTTAATGGCTGCAGTCATCACTTTCTCACTGACAAGACTGATACCAACACTTGCATTTCTAACAGCTAAGCTTTGTCGATCCTTGCTAGTATACGGTAAACACTGAAAAGCATACGTTGTCTATTTGCTGCTAAAAAGTTTAAGAACTCGTATAAAGCAATAATATCCTGTGGCATTGACCAGCTGAATTGTAAGGACTTATTTACAACAACGCTTGAAAAACTTTGCATTAATATTATATGCCTGATTAGTCTTCTTGTAGGAGCATACAGAACGCGGTGTATATGTTGCCGGTCTGTCGATGCACGTTTGTCATGATGTAGAGACGTGCCATCAGCTGATGGACAAAGGTTTTAGTAACAGACATGTCGGCGCGACCTTGATGAATAAGGTCAGAATTCTTACATCTGCTCACCTAATTGCTCAATAGAGGTTTTCGCTAGAGGTTTTTTTGTCGTAGCGAAACAAAATTGAAAAGTAGTATCAGAAGCGAATGACAGAAAATGATGGTGTGGATGACAAAACGAACGAACTGAGGGCGTTTTTGCTAGACCCGAAAAAATAAAGCAAAGAGAATTAAAAACCAATTTAAACTTATTATTTACTGCTTACTCTTGTTAGTGGTAGGGTATATTGCGAAATATAACTTTAATGATGCTGAGATAATTGCAAAACTCCGGAACACAGGTGTCTGCGGTGGGCGAAGTACGCGCTATTCTCCTTTCCGGGGAATAACGCGTTCGTTCCCTACCGCAGATTGAAAGAGTTCGTTCCATTAAAAAGAGTAGGGAGTAGGCAATAAGCTAAAGTTGTGATTATAACTACAGCCGCAGCTTAGCTAGGTTCGTAGCCGATTTGAGCTCCCTAGATCAATCCCGTTGACGGGTGATTGCTGGTGAAGTTGATCGATAGAATTAGCTAAGAGAGGCGAAACGAAGGACCCGCATAGTGTGGTGGTGGACACTTTACTCCCTGGAAAGGACAATAGCGCCTTCATTTCCCACCGCAGAGACCTGCTGTCCTGAGTTTTGCAAATATCTCAGCATCATTGAAATTAAAGAACAATCAAACAAGGTAGTGCTGATGATGATGAGAAACTAAAAATGAGCAATTGAATAAAGTCCCACCAAGAATACCATGCTTTCCGAACGCCAACCCACCTGGATTCGTTATTTTCTCGTGTTTAAAGTAGAACAACTTTGAAATGTTCTCTGATTCTTTTCAGTGTGAACTCTTATTAATTATTGTTCTTTGATTCTTGTGTTTGCCGCTCTTTAAGTAGAAACTGCGAATAATCAACACGTATTTATAATGTTCTGGCTAGACGAGATTGATAAGGTATTTGTTCGGTTAATGTTCCGACGTCTTTGTCTCCATCAGAGCCGACGATCCGAGTCGACGGTCCACAACCGTCGAAACGGGAGCCGAATAAACATTTCTATCAAACTCGTGTAAGCTCAACATTATAAGTACATATTGACTATTTTACTACAGAGGTGAAATGGCGGTCGGTTTCAAAAAAGACCACTTGGCGAAATAACGAAATCGTGAAATAAGGTACAGCTGCGCGGCGCGGTGAACTGAATTAGAGTGGCAACCGGCTTCCTTTCAGTATGCCATATCACCTCCCAGAGAACTAATATTAAAGCAGTAGTCAAAAATAGATGAGAAAGGCTTTAATTTCCCATCTATTTTCTTTTGCAGGTCTGAACTCAAAGTGTAAACTGATACGAACCAACACTTTAAAAAATGACAACTCACTAACCAACTACAGCAAAGTGTTGTCATACGATGAGACCCTTGCATGAATCGTTCGTAAATAAAATTCTAACCAAATTGAAAGAAAAGACCACATTCTATGAGCTTATAGAATGAATAACGCTGTATGAGATTAGAGCTTTGACCCACAATTCATTTTAAGTTCGAAACGCTACCAAATGCTTCACTAAATTCGGATATCTAACTCTGCAATAGCGTTTTCGTTAGAATTAATTAATACCTATCTTGTCAACTGTCTGCTGCAATCAGTAGATTAGGCATATTTTCGAACTATATTCATACTGATCGTTATCGCTTAGGATTCATCACGTAGTCATTCTATATTCACTGTCTATGTGGAGGGGATGATGGATAACGGTTCAATTCGAACTGGAAAGCTGAACCTTGTCGATCTCGCAGGAAGCGAACGTCAATCTAAGACCGGTGGGCGTTTGTAGTCCTTTGATTTTTTGCAATATAAAAAATCTTTTCTTTATCAAGCACTACTCAGTATGTTGATTTATTTCAGTCATTTATTTAATGAACTTGTTTTAAAGACTACTCCACAATAGGATCAGCATTCATGGTTGTACTAATTCTTTAAATCATTCGCTATTCTTCTATTGCTCTCCACTTGACAAGAGTTTTCCAAACAGATTTTGATGAGGAAAAATCACAGAGTTAAGGAAATCTTGCCAATTTCTTTACTTGCTGTTTTAGTTACGAAGTTTAGTCTGTCTTACGCTTTTTTTAACCATTGTCGTCCATTTTTGGATTTTGTATTTGTCAGTGGAAACGGTGCTTTTTAGTGCAAACATTAATTTCTCGTTGTCATGTCTAACAAACGACGCGACACATATGTGACTCATGTCTGGCTCAGATCACTTATTATTGGATTCTTTTGTCATATTCATTAGCACTTGGTTAATTGAAGTCAAATTCTTCAACCATGCATTTTCAATTTCATAAGGGCGCGTGTGGAGCAATGGTTGGAGGCGCCACTGCGACACGCACGTGGAATCGCGCAAACGGCCCACCATGCCTTCCATCCTCCCGGAGTCAGAAAATTGGTACCAAGATTGTTTAGGAAAAAAAAGCAACACTCGCTTGATACTTCGGAAGCCACCGCGAGCCATTATAAAGGCCAGAGATATACATTCAATCACCTCCAACGAAACTTAATGAAGTGGAATGCATGGCGCATCCCTCAGGGACTGATCAACGCTGAGAGCTTCGCCTTTTATCCTTTTCATGCATTTTCATGAATAGGTTGGAAATAATGACATACATTTCAAATAAAAAGCAGGCAAATGGGCGAAAAACGGTCCCTTCGTGTTTCAGGGGCCACTGGAGATCGTTTTAAAGAGGCTGCTAAAATCAACCTATCGCTGTCCGCTTTGGGAAACGTCATATCAGCTTTAGTGGATGGGAAATCGAAGCATATCCCTTATCGCGATTCAAAGCTGACGCGATTACTGCAGGTGATAATAAGAATTAGTAAAAGAAATGCCAAAAACACCAGTGATGCTCATAAACTTAACCTTTTTATTTGCTGCTCACTCTTTTCAACGGCAGAGTATTTGCGAAATATAACTACTACAATGCTGAGTTATTTGCAAAACTCCGGACCGCATGTGTCTGCGGTGGGGAACGAACGCGCTATTGTCCTTTCCGGGGTGATTGCTGAAGGCAGAAGATCGATAGAACCAGCTGAGTGACAGGCGAAACGAAGCAATCGCAAGGTGTGGTGCTGAAGGCGTTACTCCCCGGAAAGGACAATGGCTCGTTCGTTCTTCACCGCATACTCCTGCGGTCCGGAGTTTTGCAAATATCTCAGCATCATTATGATTATTTCATAAACTATGGAGTCTTTGGAGAACGAATTATGCACGCTTAACATTTCCACAGTGATCTTTAGAATGCATGCCGCAATTATATTCAACTCATGATTCTTTTCATGATTTTTTAATGATAGATGCTGCAATGTAGTGATTTGCGAAAAACATTTGACTTTATAGATTGTTTTAAAGCCAGACCTTTAGAAATCTGTTTAGGATTCGCTTGGAGGTAATACGAAGACCATAATGATAGCATGCATCTCGCCTTCTGATAATAATTATGATGAGACGTTATCGACACTCAGGTATATTCACCGCGTCTAGAATCTCATCAGCATCCAGTAACACTGACATTAACCTGTTCTTTCATCTATTTAACACTAAAGCATTGTTGCATGCACTGTTGCATGACAGGCTTGTAGCACAGTGGTCAGAGGTCTCTTGAAATACAATTATGATCGATGGTTCGGCCCAAGGCTCCTGATTCAGCGAACCACCCCGATATCTCTACGCAGGATCAGCAAATTGGTGCCAGATATTGTAGGAGCACAAAAGTACTAAATGTATAATATTATCACCTGTATCGCCCATAGTCCCGTTGATCGTCGACTAACCTGTGCGGGAGCCAGCAAATCGTCCATTTTTCCCTGTCGCGTGCAAGAGTAGCCTAGTGGGTTCTGCTCGTTCTAGAAACCCATCGAGCATCATATATTTCTTGAAGGCTCTCTGTGAAGAACTCTGACCATCGGGTTGGTGGCCTTCCAGCAATACACTTGACATCCCATGGAATCCAGTCACTAACGGCTCCTGCCCATCGTTCGTCATTCATACGCATTACGTGTCCGGCCCACCTTATCTTCGGCTCTTTGGAGTACGGAACAGCATCTTTGATTTTTGATCGTTCACGCAGATCGGAGCTTCGGATCCCTTCCCTTACTTGTATGAAATGGGTGCTCCTAGCATCGTCTCTTCGACTACATGTTCAATAACGCTGAGTGACCCTTCATCCTGCTTACGCATAGACCAGGTTTCTGACTCATACTTCAGAGCAGAAAGTACCATTGAGTCGAAAAGGTTGGCAAGGAGTCGGGTGTTCTTTGTTTTTTTCACCACATTCTCGATGCTCTTGAAAGCTCCCCATATCGCTTTTTTCCTTTTGCTGAACTCTGGAGCTAAGTCGTTCATCATATTGGTTTCCCGACCTAGACAGATATAATTGGGTATTCGGAGATATTCGTTCCGTTGAGCGTGAATGCGGCATGTGAAGCCAAACCGTTCTCCATGAACATTGTTTTTCTGAGATTTAGTCGAAGACCAATATTTTCACAGGCTTTACTAAAGACGGCCAGCATTCGTTTCGCTTGGCTGACGTTTGGTGTTATAAGGACCATGTCACCAGCAAAACGAGGATGGTGTAACTGCCGACCATCGGTTTTCACTCCCATATTATCACATTCCAATGTTGGCATGACGTTCTGGAGGGTGGCAGCAAATAATTTTGGCGAGATGGTATCGCCTTGCCGAACTCCTCTTTTGACGTCAATGTTAATATCGTTGTAGAATGACGATATCTTGGTTGTGAAAATTTTATGCTCACAAAGAATATTTATGTACTGAGTGGGAATTCCTTAACTGTGAAGAGCTTCCATGACTACTGCTATCTCATCTGAGTAAAACCCTTCTTTAAATCAATGAAAGTGAGGACAGACCAGCCTTTTATACTCTCGCGGTACTTCGATGAGTCTTGTTATCGTGTGGACGTCTTCCAACATACTAAATCCTTTTCGAAACCCCGTTTGCTCAAATGGCTCTCCCTCATCTAGTGTTTTGTCAATCCCGTTTAGGATGACTCCAGTGAAAAGTTTGTACACGACAGGCAGTAAGCAGATTGAGCAATAGTTGGCAATATCGTGTAGGTCACCTTTCTTGAACAATAACACGCTCTTACTGGTTTTCCACTGAGTAGGGACATTGAATTCAGGCAGGTAGCATGTGAAGAGCCGAGCCAGTGTGTTAACGAGGACTGGCGAAAGGTTCTTTAGGTTTTCTGGTCTTATCCTATCCGGACCTGGTGCTCTTCGATTTTTCACCAACGAAATGGCATGTCGGAGTTCGGAAAGGAGAACCGGTGGCACAACATATCCATCCCACTTTATTTCATATGACGGAAGGTGGACCTGGCTATCGAAGAGATCCGATTTGTATTCGTGAACGATTTTCTCCATTTCCTTTCTGGACGCTGTAACTGTTCCGACTGGGCGTCGGAGTGCAATCATTTTGGTCTTGTAATTGTGAAAGCATCGGTGGATTTTGCGAATACTTTTCCCTGCCTCCGCCACTTCGACCATCACTGCTGCTCTTCTCTCTTTAAGATCTTCATTTATCGCCTGTCTGCATTGTTTTGCAAGTTCGGATGTTAGTTCACGGTTGCCTGCAGCTCGTGTGATCCCGCGCCGGCGTATCAACTTGAGTGTTTCTGTAGATAGACGGCATCTTCCAGCAGTCATCCAATGAATTAAATAAGTCCCAGTTTACAATGGTTTTGAGACTTCGGCTTATCGCAGTTGTTAGCGAAATATAGGCCTTCGAGTTAGTTATCGACAGCGAATAACCACTAGCTTTAAACAGAATACTCGACTTCGTGATATGACGCCACGCGGGACTTTTCGTAGTTGACACAGGACAACAGCTTTCGACACTCAAACTTGGGATTAAATCTTTATATACATAAAGGCAAAAAATCAATACAACAGGAATAACGATGAAAAGAATACTGGCGCAAGAATAAGGCAATCAAGTCGAACGTAATACTCCCAAAAAGCACCTCCCAAGTCTCCAAAAAAGAGGAGGTGCTCGTCCGGGCGTGGCTACGCCCAAGCGAGGGTCAAGGCGCGGGTGGCGGGGTCCATTCCCCAAGCAACAGGACGCAGTGAGCAGCATGCCCGGTAGTGTGGCCGATGGTCACGTGATGCTGTGTCTAAAGGTGTTGTGGCAAAGGCCGTCTCCATCGACCCATTGAATGTCTGCTAGGTAGATAGAGAATCTTGATAGAGGAATTCTCCACACGAAGTTTCTTAGGATGGGACCAAAACATTTGCGCACTACATTTGCCAGCCAACCCGAGAAACAGTAGATCTGATCCTTATTACAGAAACATGCAGTAATAGAAAGAAATAGTAACTATTCCAGGGATAGTTGCTATACGACTTTTGAATTTAGCGGCTTTTTCTCCTTCTGGCGAGAAATAGAATCTTGCACGAAGGAGACGGTGGTCTGAACCCACGTAGAACTTTGGGACAACAGCGAAATCGGTTAGGAAAAAGCTTCTATTTCTTCTGATGTGGTTTATTTCGTTATGGTACTCTCCATTTTGAGACTCCCGCGTCCAGCGTTGAGGGTGGGGCTTCTGGAATTGCGAGTTACCATGGATGGTCATGGTCCCCATGATAAACTCGGATGGCGGCTCACCTTGTTCGTTCCATTCTAATCCACGGGTCCCAATGTGACGTTCTTCTTGGTCCAATTTTAGCATTGAAATCTCCAATGATGACCTTGAAGAATGTATGGTCTCACTGCAGAGAGCTTCTCCAAATCCATGTAGAACGCTTCGATCTCTTCTTCGTCATAGTTTGATGTCGGCGCGTAAACGACGATGATTGTCAAAGCCGTTATTGATCCACATCTTTTTAATCGCAAACTTCCGATTCGGATTGAAAGCTGTTCGGATGAATCTATGTTCATGGATAAACTCGTGTTGACGAGAACGCCAACGCCGCCGACTCCTCTACTGTCGCATGTTCCGATGAACAGTTCTTCTCCGGTGTCATAGACGGCGTTGAATGGTTGGCGTCGTACCATATCCTTCTTCCTTGCATGAGCAAGTCTATCGAGGACTCGGATTCAAGTGTACGTGCATTTTAGGTACAGATCGTCACCATAGTTCTTCGTGATTTAGGCAGCTTCCATTGGCCCTGAGATTTTAGCAACCTCTCTGTACTCGTTCTACCCAACGCTGCGAAATTGTGGGCCTTTCGGGGTCAGGGGAATGAGGCTGTTTTCTTTTATTGTGTTCAGCATTTTTGATGCCCATGTATGTATAGCTTGCTGGACTCTAAACGTGGGGGCTGGGTATATTCTTGGGCAGCTTGCCGGGCTCTCCCGGAGTGGACATGGAGCTTATTTGCTGCAGGCGACTCCTAACTGCCTCCCATATACTTCCTTGTCACTTGATTGCAGGCTTTTGGCCGAATTGATTCGTAGAATACAATGCGCATAAAGAGGGAACGCACCCACACACGCATATATGAATACGCCTAGCAGACACAGAAAGTATCTGCCAAATCGGCGTGGCGGAAACAGGGAGCCCATTCCCGGATCCATCTGTGCCTCAGGGAAACATACTGTTTTTTCTTCGTATTTTTGTTGAGCAAACGCAAGGTGTTATTGTTCTTTATTCACGAATAAGCTGACGTTTCGGCAGATTTCGCCTTCCTCAGAGCCTGGAAAGGTCAAGTTGACAGCAATCCACTCGGCCAGACGCCTCCATAACCAAACGAAGAAACTCTAAACCAAGATTTCAATCACGTTGAATACAGCTTTGCACACTCACCGCTTCCTGTGAGGTTTCCACTAAGTATGTCACGTAGAGACCAACCGCACAGAATTCACATGGAAGTATAATGTGCCCTTCCCATCAGAAAAGCAGTCTTATATACTGCCCTATATCACGCGTGATAATGAGGCATTCTTCCCTGCGGTTCATTTTCGGATTTCTGGGATTAATCCAATAACACCTCGCGTTTGCTCAACAAAAATACGAAGAATTACTTGATCAACGCCGAGGTTAATAGAAAGTCGGTCGTAGGAGATACTGTTTTTTTTGGATCACGATTAACTCCTATCCACTACTTGGAGACGCACCACGTAGCCTCGCCACTAACCGGCTCGAGTTCCCTCATATGAGGGAGATCTGGTCTGGGTGATGTGTAGACCAAATTTGTATTCAATTGCCCGAACGAGTGGAAATGAAGTCATGGTGCGCATAAAATTGAACGGCGCTGAACACTTTATTTTTTGGCTTTACAATATCAGTTATTTTAGATATGCGAATCGTGCGAAGAACATTAAGAATAAACCAAGGATCAACGAGGATCCTAAGGATGCCTTACTCAGAGAGTACCAAGAGGAGATCGAGCGCCTTAAGGCTTTGCTTGCACCTGGAGCAAATGGTTTCTCTTTCTTTTCATGTTTTCGTTTGCCTGCTCACAGTTTTCAGTCAGAGATTAGTTTGGTAAACACATCTAATAAAGCATTTCACATAAAATGGATGAAAACGTTTATTTATTTTGTTGTCGTCTGGTGTTAAGGCAAAGGAGAAGACGTTGGGATGGGGGTGGTAAACAGTAATATGGAGTAGGTTACATCAAACCCTCAATTTGTAAATAAGGACATTGCATAATAATAATAATAATAATAATGCTAACAATAATTCTTCGTATTTTTGTTGAGCAAACGCGAGGTGTTATTATTCTTTATTCATGAATAAGCTGACGTTTTCCTTCCTCAGAGGCGAAATCCGCCGAAACGTCAGCTTATTCGTGAATAAAGAATAATAACACCTTGCGTTTGCTCAACAAAAATACGAAGAATTACTTGATCAATGCCGAGGTTAATAGAAAGTGGGTTGTGGGAGCTAACAATAATGATAACTATGTTTATTTTCGGCTAACGTTTCGACGTCTTCGTCTTCCTCAGAGCCGATGATCCGAGTCGATGGTCCTCGCTTGTTATTTGTCTCGACGTGGCAGCTTTGCCTTCGTGTCGAGTCAGGTCTTCTTCAGTGAGCCATCTCCTCGAATGAGGCATCCTTACTCAGTGATGCCCTTTTATACACGATGCTGACGGTGGATATAATGTGATAACAACTTGTTTTTCTTCCGGACATAATCATCGCACTTTGTGCTGGCTGATAATAACACCGACTTCTGCACGATAACAAGCATGGACCATCGACTCGGATCATCGGCTCTGAGGAAGACGGAGACGTCGAAACGCTAGCCAATAATAAACATCATTATCAACCTCGTGTAAGCTCATCAAAGAAAGAATACATAATGATTAATAATGATAACTGTTCGTCGCTTTTTATGATAACAAGGATTGCCCATTATCGACTGGTTATAATAGGCCAGTGACGTTTATTATAAGCCACCAGCTCCTACGTGTGCATGAGATTTTTATGAGGATTTGGATTATTTTTTTTTTGGAAACAAGGTAAAGTACGATAATTTTCAGCAGCATCGATAATTCCGTTCGATATCGAAGCCGAAAGGGCGAAGTTACGCGAAGAGCTTGAGGAGACAATGAGAGAATTGAGGTAAGAAACGGTGGACATGCCACTAGTTCATTGAGAAGAAACGGATTTTTCGTCTTCCTGAAAATAAATGGCAAAAATTTAAATCCGGGGAAACGAAATAGATGGAAAGTGTGGGCATACTAAGCACTGAATATTGATTTTGTTTCTACTTCTGTTCAGCAAGCACGAGGTGCTATTTTATTTCTTTATTTACGCACAAGCTGACGTTTCGGCGGATTTCGCCTTCCTCAGAGCCTGGAAGGGTCAAGATGACAGCAATCCACTCGGCCAAACACCTTCATAACCAAACAGAGAAAACTCTAAACCAAGATTTCAATCACATTTAGCATAGCTCTGCACACTCACCGCTTTCTATGAGTCTTCCACTAAGTATATCGCGTGAAGACCGACCGCACAGAATTCACATGGAAGCGTAATGTGCTCCTCCCATCAGAATAACAGGTTTATATACTGTCCAATATCACGTGTGATAACAAGGCATTCCTCCCTGCGGTTCATTTTCGGATTCTTGGAATTTATCCAGAATGCGTCTAGAGTTTTGCGCCCTTGTGTTCTCAATTCTTGCGCGAGGATCGTAACCCTTCAAAATCTTCTCCGTTATGTTTCTGCGTGCTATGCGTACCTAGTGGAGTACTTAGCTTACGTTTGCCGGCTAGGTGTTCTTTTATACGTACGCAGAGTGGTCTACCCGTTTGGCCAAAGTATTCGTCCCCGCATGCTTTACAAGAAATCAGATAGACTGTACCCGAACTCATGCAGTCACCGTCTCTACCATTGGGGCAAATTATGCAATTTTGCGTGGCACATAGACGGTCGTATAGGCGGTTACGAACTAGCTAGCGCCTTAGATTATTCGGTGGTATTTCGATTATCGTTACCGAATTCTCAAAACTGGCCCATTTTAAACAGCGTTTTATAGCTGCACGTACTTCATTTGAAATAAAGGGCAGTATAAACGGAACCTTGTTGTCGCTAGAGTTATCGTTGGGGTACCTGTGGTTTCCTCTACACCTATCTGGAGCTACGGTTTCGTAGCCATTAAAAATGGCTATTTGCCGCGCCGAGTTCCGGGACTCCTCTCTCTGTTGTCTCCCTGTGCACACGCTGGTAGCCGTTCGATACATGTTTCTCACAAGCGCCCTTTTCGTGTGAGAGGAATGAGAGGAGAGGTAATGAACTAGGATGTTTTTACTACTTGGCTTTCGATTCCACTTCGTAATGTAGCCGT